TTGAAATAATATGCATTCTCATAAAGGGTTAACTTTGAAGTTTTACAAAAAGCTTGGAGACTATTTGTTAAATTCTCTTTACATGTAATATCATGATTTGGTTTTAGAGTTAGCAGAATATGCAGGCCTTTCGATATAGTTAGTAATGCTACCTGGTTCTAAAAGTTTGTTGCTAAGAAGCGTTATATGATTGTGTGGTTTTCCTGATTTCATTAGCCATCAAACCTCAGTACAGTTGATAATTTCATGTCCTGAAGCAAAATAAGTAATTTTAGCAGCAGAATAGTAATTCTGTTTGGTCCCTACTTATTCAATCATATTTCTAATCTAACTCTGTTGGTTAACTGATACTTTTATTATACTCTTAGTATGTCATTGAGTACAGTGTTGGCTGAACACTATTCTCATTTTCCCAGTCAGTTACCTGGGAAAGCTAGAATAAGAATTCCATACTATTGGTTATTGCTGTGTATATTATAAAATTATTTCTCTACATGCTTTAAGGCATTGAATTTAATTTCAGGATGATAGATTTCTATATACTACAGGATGCCATCATAAGCCCACAGAGTCCATGCTAGGCAGTTGCAAACCACAAAAATCTGGTACTCCAAATATTACTTTGCTTTCCTGCCAGAAATAAAATTTTATCTTTGCTTAACTGAATAGAGTGTGCAAATCCATTGAAAATGACTTTTTCTTTTTACCCATTTCTGCCAAAAGAGTGGAATAGGTACTTAATTTCTGAAAGGTTTGCCTTTTTAAATTTGCAAATTTGATAGGATGTATTATTTCTACCAGTACAGTGTTATTGAGAACTTACTGTGTTTTCAGACACTGTTCTTTCTGTACACATTTTTATAGCTAATATATCAGTAGCCATTCCCATTTTTATAGATCAAAAATTTGAGATTATTGTAGATCATGCAGTTACATCTACATAAAAGGTAACCTGATTCCAAACCAGTGTTCTTAATATTCATGGTTGGTTCTCAAAATTTGATTGTATATCAGATGCAATTGGAAACTCCCCTGCAAAAAAAGAAGCATTTCCTCATAATACTAATTAAATTAGAATCTCCTAGGAATGACGGCTGTATATTCTTACTTCTAAAACATCTTGTGTTGTTTTAATAATGTGGAATTTGGGTTACAAATCACCATTGTATAATTATACTTGCTATTTTTAGAATAAGCATATTTAATTTGTTAATTTGATAGAGATGAAGCACATCTAAAGATTTAGGGCTTGAATATAACCATGACAAAGAATTTACACACCTATTTACATAAATAATAAATATAATCAACCTTAGTATATATATATATATATTATTTTAATACAGGAATTGTAGATCACATGACGTAATATATGAGAAATAATGAAGACTAGTAATATATGAGAAATAATAAAGACCATTTCTGAAAAGTTTCTTCATTCAGAAACTTTTAAGCCATAAAAGTACACATCATTTATTCTTTATTTGTAGAATTTCAAATTTAATAACTTCTCTAATTCTCCCAAGATTTAATTCATTATCATGTTTAAAAATATTTACAAGTTATATTTACAAGTTACTTATATTTTAATATAAATATGGTACACATACATAAGTATGATCTGTTATAATAAAATAATCAATGAAATGTTTCCATGCTCTTGATTTTCTCATGATTCTGTTACAAATATAAATTAGACTGTTGTAAATACAGAAAGATATGTAAATAAGCATGTTCATTGCATTTAATTTTATTAATTGACAATTGGCTATAATGTTATAAGACCATAAAGTAATATTTAACTTAATCTCAATTTTATTTCTAGTTATGAACACACATTATTCCTCTGTAGGATAATAGGAAACTCATATAATTAAGATTACTGAGACTTTTCATCTTGAATCTCCTGAGAAGGCATGCTTACTTCATATTTAGAATATTTGAAATATAATTATGATATTTAATACAGTTTTAAGTGAATAGGTGATTCATTATACATTCATATATGGAATTGGTAGAACAGGTTGGTAATATAGGTTATTTTTAAAGCATTCCACATTGTAAAGCAAAAAAATATTTTGATACAATTTTCCTCCTTAGTATGTTAAAACTGTTAAAGAAGAAAAAAATCACAGAAGTTTAGAATTCATGTGTGATGGTTGCTTTAATTACATATAAATCCAGAGAGGCAAGTTGTGTTCAAGGTAACACAACTATTCAACAAATGATAAAGCCACAAACTACATGTCTCTGTTCCTCATTCCTCTTTGCACTAAGATTATATACTGACCTGAGGGGCAAAGTCCAGATTTAACAGATCTTTGTTTATATCCTCAAAATATTTTTTAAGCATTGTCTTTCCAGACCCCCAAACAAATTTAAATGTCCACAGATAACCAAATGCTCTTTTACTGAAAAGTCAAAATAATATAATAGCACTGAATACTATTTGTCTAGGCTGATTGTTTTGTTTAATATTAATTACCCTCTCCCAAATGGATATTTTAAAGCAAGAATGGTTAAGTAGGTACAGCTCTGTTAAAAAGAATATATTTATAATCTCTAGAATGAGAAAAAAAGTTTAAGAAAAATTGTTTCATTTTAGAATGTTTATGAAAAAGGTTATTAGTTTTGCAGCTTCAACTCTGGGAAGATCCTTTGAAACCAATAATAAAACTTAAATAGCCCTTATAATAAGAAGAAATAGAGCACAGAAGACTGCAACTGACTGAAATAATTTTTCTTACATGATAATTGAGTGAATCCTTGACTAGTGACATGGTCATACCCTTGCTGATAGGCATCAAGCACAGGGTTTTACTGATTCTGTATACTGTGTGGCTGTGCTGTGTTCAGTTGTAATCTCCATGGAGGCTTCTTATGACATACTCTTGTATTCTTGATCCAGTTTATTTCCTTCTTATGAATTGTCGCTGTCTAGATAGTAAAATTAGGTCAAGGTATATTTTGGATATTGCATTGAGTTCAGGACCTTATTCACACCAGTTTTTGAGCAGTGTGTCTGTCTAGCCTCATTCAAATAGAAACATCAAATTCAGACCCCTACTCAGACTCATGTTTTGTATTGATCTAACGGAGAAAATCACATTTCCCCTTCTTTCTTCCATTTATCTAATCAAGATACAGAATAAATGTTGGATATATGAAAATCCTCAAATCTGAATGGTATATGAAGAAACCGGCTTCATTCTATTTACTCCCGTGCATAATCTATAGGATATGAATGACAGTGATAGATGAACTATGTGGCTTTCTAGCTTTCCTGAAAATGTGGCCTTGTTTTTTTCAGGCATTGATTTTCCAGCTAGAGATGCAGCCATACTCAAATTTAAGCACTCATCTGTATTCTCAAGACTAACATAGATGCTAGTTAGTCTTGAGAATACATAAAGTATTATTTAGGAAAATATAAATAAAGTATTATTTAGGAAAATAGACCAAGAGTCTATTTCCAAATCATATATTATACCTCATTAATGATGATAAAAATGTTCCTGTTGCTGAGTTTCTGAACTTTGCTGGACTTTGTTCTGTACTCTAAACTATAGCAATGTACCAAAATTCTAATATAATTGTGATGGTAATGCCATCTTTCAAAATAGATGAAAATAATACATCCCCATTGATCTTGTACTTGATATTTTAGCAGTGGGAATTGGTTTGCATTAAGTCAGAATTTGTTTAAATAGGACTGTTAGATTTATACAAATACATTACTGACTTTACTACTTGGCATCTTACAGCGTTAATGACACATTTTGGTGGATTTGAATTTCCAAAATCCCTTGCCAAATAGGAAAGGGAGAATTGCATATAGGTTTTACAGCTTTTCATGAATAGACCATTTTCTTTTTGGTGAAAAATTATGAGGGAAACATGTTAGGTAGAGATGTTTTTGGATTTCCCATGTCTTTTAGTAGCTAAAATGCAAACTGTGCTAAGAAAGCCCTTTTATAGGCATTTTAAAGACAAAATTCTGAGTAAATTACCTATTTTATGATGGGCATATGGAAGAAGACTTGTGTTATAAGCCTTTTTTCCCCCCTCGTTCCACATGTTATTCATGGTGTTTAGTAAAAATATTTCTAAAATATTACACATACTAAATTTTTCATTTCAGTTGGTAAAACAGAAAGCATATAGAGAATGCTGTATTATTATAATCTGTTATAATCCTTCTGTATGACTTATACATGTTACCTCATTTATTTACATTTTTTTATTTTGTTTTAATACATGTCTTTTTTATTAATATTTTAAAATTTATATATGACAGCAGAATGCATTACAATTCATATTACACATATAGATTACAAATTTTTCATATCTCTGGTTGTATACAAAGTATATTCACATCAATTCATATCTTCATGCATACTTTGGATAATGATGACCATCACATTCCACCATCAATTCTAACCCCCTGCCCCCTTCCTTTTCTGCCCACCACTCTACCCTATCTAGAATTTGTCTATTCCTCCCATGCTTCCCCTCCCTTCCCCACTATGAATCAGCTTCCTTATATCAGAGAAAACATTTAGAATTTGTTTTTTTGGAATTGGCTAACTTCACTTAGCATTATCTTCTCTAACTCCATCCATTTATCTGAAAATGGCATGATTTTATTCTCTTTTATTGCTGAGTAATATTCCATTGTATATATATGCCACATTTACATTTTTGAAGTACATAATAGATAGTATATTTATTTTCAGTATCATAGCTCTACTTTATTCAAAAAGTAGTTTTCCAGACCAAAGCATCTTCCTTTTATGTTGTTTTTTATGGCATATTTCTATTTTTATTTAAATGAAATATATTTCACAAGGATGTTAGAAATAACTTTACAATAAAAGAGGCTCTGTGGTGAAAGGAAAAGGGGGAGCAGTGTATAAACTGTGCAGAAGGCTGTTTGGAAATCAGGTTTAATTCAAAAGAACTTTCAATCACTAGTTAATATAACTGCTTTAAATTTACAGACAGTGGGAGTAGCTCACCGTTACCCAAGTATGCTTCATCTCCCAAACCAAACAACAGCTACATGTTCAAACGGGAGCCCCCAGAGGGATGTGAGCGAGTGAAAGTCTTTGAGGAAATGGCGTAAGTAATGTCTTTTCTATCAGCTGGGTTCTGCAAAGCTGTGAAGCTTTTTACTGAGACCAGTTGATTACTGATGAATCAACTACTCCATCCAGCTGATAATGTGTTTTGAAGCAAATTATGAAAAAAGATTCAAATAGGCAAAGGGAGATACTGTTGAAGGAGAATTGAAGTCTATGCTGGGGATGTCTAAGCCAGTGCAGAGAAACTTGGAAATTCATGCTTCTTACCTAAAAGTTCTATTTTTAATCTTTAAGAATCTTCCTTTCAACAGCTGTATTAATTTAGGTGCCTGACAAAAAGGCATTTAAGAGCAAAGTTAGCACACATGACTAGCCTACACAGTGTATTCCACAAGCCAGAGGGAAAGTCTCCTTCCCTAGAGACACTTCTAGCCTGTTTATTCATGAATTCAAACTTTCTCTTCACAGATTTGGTTTTTCTTTTTTCTTTTCTTTTTTATTTTTTTGAAATTTTAATATGTATAAATTAGAAATAAACTCAAAAAAGAGGTTCATGCTATAAACCTGGGCAGAATAGCTCAGAAGAAGACTGTGGCTTTTGGACTATTGTCCTTTTGTCCCATCACAGGTGCCTAATGAAGGCTATTATACCCTTGCAACTTAAAAGGAGATAGAGATGGGTCTTGCAGGAGTTGATGGCTTAGTTCTGGGAATAGGAGAGGAAGGGCTTATGGATCCTCCTCTGCTGGGTGGTTGGCTCTTGGAGAGACCATTGAAACTTTTTCTCCCCGGTCTGTGCCAGCTGGAGTATGTCTAGAGATGGAGAAAAACAAAAAGATGCTTCTCTATCCCCACGCTTTTTTTTTCTTTTAAAAATACAGAAAAGGTTATCCTAACCTTGCACAATCTTCAACTATAATTTAGACGATTTTTCCACATTCCTAAATGATTGAAAACAAACTCTAATGATCTCTGTAAAAAAAAATTCTCTGCCCAGTCCTTTTGAAAGTTGTTTTAACTCAAATATCACTTCAGTGCTGTGCACATGAATATCTGCCAGCTGACTTGTGCTATGGAAGATGTTTACTCCTCTTTGTACACTTAACTCATTCCCTGCCATTCACATTTTAGCCATTTTAGAGAACTCCAGTTTAATCAGAAAGTGCTTAACTCCTTGGTGATCATAAACCTAATTTTGTTTTATGGTTTTAGGTCTCGTCAGCCTCTCTCGGCCCCTCTCTTTTCATGTCCTGACAAAAACAAGGTTAATTTCATCCCAACTGGATCAGCTTTCTGTCCTGTGAAACTTCTAGGCCCTCTCTTACCTGCTTCCGACCTGATGCTCAAGAACTCTCCTAACTCTGGCCAGAGCTCAACTCTGGCAACTCTGACCGTTGAGCAGCTCTCTTCCCGGGTTTCCTTCACGTCTCTTTCCGATGACACCAGCACAGCAGGCTCCCTAGACACCTCTGTCCAGCAGGCATCCCAGCAGCAGCAGCTCCTGCAGGAACTGCAGGGTGAGGAACACATCTCTGCTCAGAACTATGTGATGATCTAAGCAGAGGGGGAGCTGGCCTCCACCCCATGTTCCATGGACTGGGAAAAGGTCTCAGACTTTTATCTGCATGGAGTGACAAACTTTCTGAACACCACCACCAACAACAAAATACTTATCAGCATCATAAAGTATCTCTTAACACTGATCTTGGCAGGGACGGAACTCCTATTCAGCAGTTTTTGTGGAAAGCAGTAATGCTTGCAAAATGTGTATGTCATTCAGCGTGTAAGTGGAGACTATGCATTTCATAGTATGTTTGACAGATTAGTACTGTGTCCTGTGTGTTGTTCCAGATTCTTCAGTATAAATAAGCTCTATATCAAAAAGTTGCCTGTCTAAATAGAAAATGTCTTGCTGTGTTTTGTCCTATGGAAAATACTGTACTTCAGGATTATGTTTACAATCGATCCAGGTGTTTGTTTCTAATTTCTGTAATACATACAATGCAAAAAAAAAAAAAAAAAAAATGGCCACAACAGTTGCACAGTGCCCACCCTATGGCCTAGCTTCAGGTACTTCAGTTGAAGTCTAAACTCAGGTAACTTGGAATGTATATCATATTGGGATATTAAATATTTCACAGCTAAAAAGCTAAAGAGGGAACATCACTCTTGCCTTTCCTTATTTTATGCATTTCCCTTTCCTCATTACATTCCACATTCTTAGAATAAGAAGTGCATTCAACCCTAGGAGAATGATGATCCTAGACATGGGTGAACATGAGGAGAACCAGCAAATCTGTGGTGTGACATCACTTTTGTCATGTGGTAACAAGTTAAACAACTGTTGCATTCACTGTTCCAATGTGTAAATGTGGCTGTTTTAATTAAAAGTTTGGGTGTTGCTCAGTTAGTGACTGTTACAATGTTGCAGATAAAGTATTCAGTACTAGATTGTACATAAACATTCCACATTATGTGTGATGAAATTTAAAGACAAGAAGGTCTAGGTTTAATTTCAAAACAGGGTTCTGAAGTTTCACAGGGGATGATTGAGGTTTTTTATGTTGGCCATCAGGGTCATAATTGCTACCATTTTTATCTGAAAGCATATTTATGCTTAGTTTCTCTTTTGGAAATTGTTTAATTTCCAGGTTAGAAAGTGACACAGTTTTGTTTATTAGTTTCTTCAAGCAGTTGAGGTGCATGAAGTTGCATTCATGCAGAAAATACTTGGGTCTCAGAATTGGTGCCACCTAAGTAAGCAGGTTATTTGGTGACTTACAAAAGCAATATTTCAAAGCTAATTTAAGCCTTGCATAATACTATCATGAATAGTTTTGTTAATATTTTGGATATGTGAAGTAGAGAATATATCCAAGTAAGTAGCCTTGAACTTGAAGACTTGAAATAAGTTTTCTGTAAAGTGTGAAGAGAGCCCTAGATATTCCTGGTCAGTCAGTGGGAGAACCTGACTTTCAGACAGTTTTCTGCAGCACAACGAAAGTATCCAAAAGTCAAAGGAAGCTTTGTGTTTTTATTCCATTGATTTCAGTTATGAAAACCTAGAGTTGTCTTATCTGCACCCAAAGTGTGTGGCACAATATTTTCTTAAGAAGAAAGGGGGAACAAGGTGCCTATATTTAAAGGAATATTTCAGTTTTCTTCAGTCATTCCTCGGTTTTTCTTTATTTGCTAAGAAGGTTGAAGAAGGATGAGATGATAGAAAAGAAAGCAACACCATTATTTTTTTTTTCAAAGAAATTATATGTATATGTAAATGTTTGTGTGTATGTGTGGTCCATGTGTTATTTTGTCATGATCCCAATTCTCTTCTTTCCACCAAAGTTTGCAGTAATATTCTCTCCTGAAGGTGCATTTTGGCTCCTTTAAATTAGTCAGTGTTATATTGTAGGAGACTGTCATGGAGAAAAAGACTCAGTTTACTTTTGCCATTTTTCACAGGGGAACCTTTTAAAACAATCTTTTCAGCAGCAGACACCTTTAACCCTAATAATCTCAGGCCTTGATGAAAATACTATATTTTGTAGATTATGGTTAAAGGGAGAATTGCTAGTTCCGTAAGATAAATATGAGCTCCATTTAACTTCTGATATCTGGTTTAGCATTACATGATGTGTTGATCTTATGCTCTGCTTTGTCCAAATAAGATGCAATAGTATCTATCAATTTCAGAAAGATGGACTGAATATGCTTTTTTCGTGATGAAATCTGATGTACGATATTTATAGTGATGTGCTTTTATTTTCTCATGAGAAACTAAATATTGTGTTGTACATTTGTTCTTAGCATATATTAAAGTTTTGAACCAAATGTGTTAAAGCTTGTGCTTTGCCATGTAAATTTTCCAGAAGTTGTTGAGCTCAAATGTATCCTACATCCAGCTGTAGAAAATTGTCAGAAATTGTTTAAATTTTGTATATAGTTGTACTGTTTAATTTTAGCCACTGCGCTGAACAGTATTCGAGTTATCATACAATATGGCTTTACACAAGGAAATGTGTGGCTTCTGTTTTGTATTTTTTCAGTATAGAAGTTCCTGTGTCTTATTTAAATAAAGTTATTAGTAAAACTGGGATCATTCACATATGCTTTTGGCAGGACGGCCTGTTGGCACATTACCCACAGCTCAGGGTAATGGCAGTATTCAGGGTAGTTAATGCTCACTCAGTTCTTGGCCTGTGTCTTTAGAGCAGGGTGTTCACATGCATTCAATTTCTCTTAACTTGGTTTCCTCTAAACATTTAATTTGCATATTTTCCATCAAAAGGTAGGAAGCTAGATGTCTCGAGTTCCATGCCTTTGTAATGCTCCCAACTGTAAATTCCTTAAATAGAAAAAACATTGTTCCCTATATTATTATTTTATACCTAAGAATGTATGGAAATGAGTTTAAATTCAGTGAAATCACTTCAAAGGAAGTTGTACATTTCTTGCAAAGAAAATTGTAGCAATAAAATTGAAATTCTTATCAGATTCAAAATAAGAGGGAGAAAAGCTTTACAAAATAAAAGAAGGTTGATGTTAAACCTGCTATCCAAATAGGGTCATGAGATCCATGTGGGTAGCATTCAATTTCAGCAAAAAATAACTTTAAGAAATAATTCTCCAGCAGAGTGCTGTTCATTGCCAAAGGACATTTCATCAAAGACATTGATAAGATTTGGTTTCTAAATTTAACTTAGAAATGACTACTTAGTAGCTATGTTTTTGAGAAAAGTAAAATGTAAGTTAAAGGGTGTGATTTATCAGCTGTCTTCCTGAGGATAATATATAATTTAGGCAGGAAATTACCTTGTCCCATTAAAAAATCTCATTGCAAATGAACATGAAGGAAAGTGCAGTTTTTCACCCTTATACTCAGATTGCATAATAAGCTTAATAAAAATGGCCCTGGGAAATTAGTGTTTTGCAAAATAAAATTTAAGAATCAAAAAAGGATAAATTAGGCCAAATAACTTATATGTTTCAGTGCTAAGTAACTGATGCTAATTAAAAAGAATCACATGAAGTATATACATGAACATTGCAGACCAAGGAGTTACCTTTACCCCCTGCCCCTATCTCCCATCCCACATTGAGATGCAACTAGCACTGAAGTTTCATTCTTCCTGACATATTCCCTGTGGCTCTGAGGGCAGCTCCTACCTTCTACCACATCTTTGGTACTCACAAGTCTAGTGTCTCACCCCCCTCCCCGCCACTACCAGTATTTTACTCTGGTGAATAGGGATTCTGTAATGGCAGAAGCTTTACTTAGTACAAAATCTCGATGCTATAGCCTGGCCCCACAGTTCTAGAACCCCTCCTCCCAGACTTCATCTCATCTCCACCTCAGTGATTAAACATAATGAGGGCACTGTCTTTATCCTTGTGTACCAAGCCAACTCTCCTTTACACTCCTTCCTCCTTCCCATGACAAGGAGTATGTCCTGATTTTTTTTTTCTCCACCTAAATCTCAAATGTGCCAGTAGTTATCTCACTACTGAATTTCGAGCTGTGGAGACATGCTGGTGGTGTGCTAGACAGCTGTGCCATCTAGATGAATGACTTTGGAACAAGATTCTGATAGTAAGGAGACAAAAATCATTGAGTATGATAGACTTCCAAAAACCTTGGTATCTTAGACAAGAGGTTAGAAAAACTACTGCCCATAGACCAAAGCCAGCTAGCTGCCTATTTTTGCAAATAAAAGTTTTACTGGACTGAAGCCACACTCATTTATCTGTTGCCTGTAGCTATTCTAGTGTACAATGACAGGTCATTGCAAGGGAGTCTGCCTCACAGTACCTCAAATACTTATTACCTGTTTCTTCACAGAAAAGTATGCTGACCTCTGGTGTAGACTAAAGAGCAGACTAGAGACTAGATGTAAGTAGCTGGTATCATATGTGATTATTTTCATGACTAGAGAATTTTTAAATGGTTTATATAAGATCATGCTACCTAAGAAACAAAGGGAGGAGATCTGGGAAGGGAGCCTCTGTTCCCCTAGGAATGATCCTAGAACTCCCTTTGAAACTGCTGGATTCTCTCAGCATTTGGACAGTACCCCACAGTAGCTCTCAACTGACTGACCATGAGCTGCTTATTGTGTGGATGACAGTTCCAAGGTAAATGGACAACAACTTATTTGAGAGAATGCCACCTGATTAAAGAAGCCAAAAATAACCTGGCAGACTGAATAAAATGCTGAAAAATTGAAGACCCATTTGGGGGTCTTCACCGACTTACAAGCAGTGGCCAATGACCTGGCCACATGGTCATGTAGAAAGCAATGAGAACCTGGCCTATTAAAGAAATGCCCATGTGAGCCACAGCCCTATAGAAATTTGAGGGGTACATTTAAGATGTCCACCAAAAGAACTTGCCAAAGAATTGTCAAGCAGATATCCCTGTGTTGTCACTTTAAGTTGGCTCCTGGGTTCATTTAATCAGAAGACATGGTGGGAGATGCAGCAGTGAAAGTGGACTGAATCTAGACATGTTCCTCTCACACCCTTTGAAACACAAAATTGCAACAAGAACCAGCAAAAGGGATGAAAGACATGATGGCTATGTGCAGCTTCCTTGGTGGGAAGGCCTTCATCAGAGCTGGCAAGTGAGACTGATGTTGTTAGCCCCAGGGGGGTCCTGACAGGAATAGATACCAATTCCAGACTGGGCTGTTTAGCCAGTGAAGGATACAAACATTAAGAAGACTCAGCGCAGAAGACACTGCCTGAGTTTAGACCACCAATCATCATTGCTTCAAACCAAAGAACACACTCTATAGCTCATAACATTCAACGCTGGGCAGAGAGACATCCTCAGAGTAACAGTTTTAGGAGTAGATCACCTAAAGTGGAGAGAGAACAGCATGGAGGATTGGCTTCCACCTTCTCACACACTTGGCCTGAGAGGTACTAGAGGAGTGTCCCCACTAGATGTTATTACTGTTTTTCTGGTGAATGTGGAGGACAGGGGAACTCACTTTGGAGAGAGAAATGCTGGAAAAGGATGCTGGTGTAACTATGATAATGTCTTTTTTTCCCCCCCACATCACCTGAAAAGGAAAATATATACTGCCACAGAACAGTATGTACTTGAAGTAAGGATGATTCCTCAGCAAGAAATTTTAAGTGTGGTTTTAAACCTATGTCAGAATTCCTAAGGGCCTCATGGGTATGGGTTGTATCTTCACTGCATCTGGCAAAATGGGGGTTAATGGTGAATGCAGCCATGTTGCCTGGAGGCAGAAATAGCTCACTAGTTCTGTACCCACTAACCTTATTCTTCTGCATGGGAGTGGACTGAGAGTGAAGCACTTGCTAGACTAGTATTGCTGCCTAGGTTCTAGACCAGCACAATAGCTGCAGCTAATGTTTTTTTCAAAGGTGAAAAAGGTTGTTAATGGAAAGAAGGAGGAATAAATAGAAGCCAAAGGCAAAAGTATAAATAAATGGGTTTTGAATTGAGAGAGATTCAATATTAACACCTCAAAAGAGGCTCAGAGAAGGAGATGACATTGTCTCTGACCGCTATTATCTCAACTGCCTGACAGGGTGAAGCTGCATGTTTGCTGAAACTTCTGCTTTTGGGACTTGAGGCAATCATGTGAAAGCCTGGGAACCTGAATGGCCTCAGGAGACACAGTCTTTCAATATGATGATAAACTATACTAGTTATTAGTCACTGAGGGGATTCTAATAATGTGTTATCTGTTGAATTGTATACCCCTTTGATGAAAGGGATCTATTGAAAAACCCAGAGGTGACCTGTGATAGGATAGACATTTTGGGGGTTTTATCCATGGTTCCTAGCCCATAACTTCCTCTGTAAGTCAGGCCAAAGAAACTAGAATTCCTCTCTCTTGAAATGAGTCAGAGAAACTCTAGAAGCTAACCATAAAGAAATCCTCTGACCCCCCCTTTGCCATGAACAGGCAATAAGACCCTTCTCATTCCACAGGGGTCCTGCCCTATGCCTTAGAAGAAGGAGTACTTCACACAAGAAAGACCAGAAAGAATCTAAATAGACAGACTTTGTTGGATTTCCTCACCAGACTATTAAAAAAAATAAAACATGCCTATGTAATAAAATTGTCATCAAACTCAAAAAGACAGCATTGGGAGAGCTTCTGGATGGCTCCACATGTGGAGATTGCTGGACAGTGGTGTTTCCTGAGAGTCATGGATGCTCCGTGTCCCTTTCCCCATATCTTGCCCTATGCATCTCTTCCTCTGTATCCTCTGTAATATCCTTTGTAATAAAACATAATTGTGTTAAAAACAGTTTCCTTAATACCCCTCCCTTCAAGATGCAAAGCTTAATTTCCCTTAAGTGTGGGCTAGACTTGCTTATTATGAATAGAATATGAAAGAAGTGATGAGATGTCATGTCTGAGATTAGGTGATGAAGCGACTGGCTTTGCCTTGGGTGTGCTGGCTTTCTTGGATCACTTGCTACAGAGGAACCTATATTGTGCAGATACTCAGAAAGTCAATGGAGAGCCCCAGTAGTGAGTAGTGAAGGCCTCTGATCACCAGCATTCGAGGAACTAAGGCTCCTTGCCAACAGCCATGAGGAAATATCCTCCAGGCCCAGCTGAGCCTTGTGATGACTGCAATATCATGACACCTTGTGCCAGAGTTGACTGCGATATCATGATACCTTGTGCTCCTGAGTTCCTGACCTTCAGAAACTGTGTAAGATAATACACATTGTGTTAAGGTACAAATTTGAGGGGAAATTTGTTATGTAGTGTTAGAGAACTAAAACATACAGCAGCTTTCTCCTCCAAACACATATACCCATTATTACCATTAATGTTACCCAAAGCCCTCTATTTAATTCTGTCCTCTGGGTCCAGAAAATGAGACTTCCAGTTTTAGAATGGGTACTTTGAGGAAAAAAAAGCCCTTTTGGACTAGGTTCAAATAAAACTTTCCAATACAAAATTTTGCAATTTGAACACCTCATATGATATTCTGTCTCTGTTGTGTAAACCTAAAACTTAATTTGTCTAACATGAAACAACTTAAGAGAATCCAGTGTGAGGGGGCGGGGGGAGGACTGGGAATTAAAATCCTTGGA